GTGTGGTCTCTGTGGGTGTTGTCTCGGTGTGTGTGGAACGAGTAGCGGGAGGAGCGGGAGAAGCGAAGCGGGAGAAGCGGGATGAGACATAGAAAAGAAGAACCCCACGCTAAGATGTGGGGAACTAAGATGTGGGGTCTCAGTGTGCGTTGGCTCTGTGTGTGTTGTCTCGGTGTGTGTTGTAGCTGGAGGGGGAGGAGGAGCCGGGAGGAGGCGGAGTGAGATATAGAAAAGAAGAACCCCACACTAAGATGTGGGGAACAAAACGAATCCATCAGGATCCCTGTGATTCCAAGGGTTACACACACACGCCTCCCTGAGGGGAGGCGAGAAAAAACTAACGTTAGGACGAATGCGCACGTGAGGGCGCAGCAAAGACAAAAAGATGAAGACATGAAGAGAGGACAAGACAGGACAAAAGTGTGCGTGATTGCGATGAAAGGGAACCAAGTGCACCGGGGCAACCGATGAACCCAACCTCATTTTCAAACCTGGGGGACCTGACACACTAAGGCCGGGACCGATGTGCGCGCAAAAGAAAGAAGGAATGAAATGCCAAGACATGAAGACAGGAGGACATGAAAGAAAACAGGAGAACAAATGTGTGTAAGGGGAAGGGTGAAAAGGGAAACAAGTGGAGGGGACGAGAGCCGATGAAGCGCCTCTTTTGTATGTGAACGCATTGCGCACGAGGGAGGGAGGGGTATCGGAGAGAAGAGAAAAAAGAAAAAGAAGAAAGGAAAGGAAAAGAAGGTGTTCCCAGCTACGACACAAGCGTCCAAGGACACACCAAGAGAAGAAGAGAAGGGCTCCCAGCTATGACGAAAGCATCCAGGGACACCCAAGCAAGAAGGAAGAGGAAGAAAGGAAAGAGAAAAAGAGAGAGAGAGAGAGAGATGTCAAGATACAAGCTCTTTTTCAATAGCATACATGCTCTATCGTATTGTTCATGTACAATTGCCCGGCGCTATACAATGCACCATGGATCGAGGCCTTGAGCCTAAGGACGGTTGTCAGAGGAAAACAATACAGAGACGTGCACAAACAAACGACAAACAGATGCTGCTGAATTTTACATGGTAGCGGAGCAAGGATCCTGGTAACAACAATCCAGGTGAGCTCCAATACAACAACAGGAACAAACACACAAACACAGACAACGGAGGACAAGCCTTGACCCTACAATAGGTAGCTTGTACAGCTGCAACAATGGCAGCACAACTAGCAGCAGCTCAAGCTGGAGATGGCCTACCTCCAGCTCCAGAAGACGAGACAATCACAAACATGGCAAACATGAACAGATACAAACTCAAACCACCTTTCTTCAATGGAGACTATGGCACGTTCGAAGAATGGAAATACAAGTTCACAGCATACATGGGATTGCAAGACAATGACTACACAGAACTACTACAAGCAGCAGAACGAGGCACAGCAGAACTCACAAAGCTACAATTACGAGCAGCGGCATCAACAATCGAAGACGGTGAACGACATGTTCGCCTCAGCACTGATTTGAGGTACATCCTCATCAACACAACAACAGGAGCAGCAGCTACAGTATGCAGACAATACCAACACACAATTGGCTTCGAGATGTACCGACAACTGCGCATCCGCTTCTCCATCCCA